AGTGATCCAATAAAGATATAGCAGATTTCAGGTAAAAACACTCAGAGAAGCCAAATCCTGCAAAATTTGGATGGTGGGTCCAGGTGGGCGGGGCTTGGTGACTGCTTCGTTGTGACATCACAAAGTTCCAGGAAGTCCTGACGGCTGGTTTTAAGGCTCAGTTTCTGAATACAGGCTGTGTGCATTTCTCTGTGGACTGAGGCTTTGATACTTTCACAGTATTAATATAGAAGCTAGAGCTGATCTATAATCACACTACACATGGACACAGACCTTTACACTGGAGGAGCTTTAATAGTTGATAAGTCTGGGGTTTTAATTAGAGGTTCTTCTCAGCAACACATTTACATTTCTTTCATGGTTCCAGCAGGTCAAAGCTGAGTCAGCTGGGGACGTGTTGTGCTCTATAAAATCTTGTTCACCTGAAAATGACTCCCCCCCCCCCCCCCCCCCCCGAAGCATACAGATTTATTCAATGTCCTCTCAAGTGATCGGTCTGTATCTTTTGAACTGACGCACACAGGCACAGAGTGTATGTAATTGTTCCCCTGTGTAGCTATCATATACATTTCTTGTGTGAATAGATGTGCTTGAATGATTGTGTCTGCAGATCTTTTTGTTAGTTTTTGTTTCTCGAGGGATTTTAAAGAACAGACATAAAAGATTTTTAAAATGTTTGCTGTGAGAAGTCGTCGCAGTCCAACAGAATTATCACAGTTTTCATATCTACTTTCTTTTTCTTTTAACTTGTGAAATGCTTCCAAACATAAAGTGTGCAGCATTCAAGGAAAAGTCTTGAAGCTGAACTAAAGACATTTTCAGCTTATTAAATTATCCAATAAAAGTTGAATCGAGGGAAACTGGCTTCGGTTGTAGATACTTAAAGACTGGAGGCGTCTTCGCTTCTGACCGACTTGTGAGGAGACCTGGGTATTTGGCCTCTGGGGGGGTCGTTATCAAGGCTGTTGATGTCACTCGGTTCATTTGTGCTCCTGGCTGTTGTAAGGGAAGTTGCAAATGACTAAGTGACTGTCGTTTTTTTTTTGGAGTCATATGAGGCCGAGCGTGAAGTGCTGTTAAATCTCCTGGAGGGATGAAAGGACAGCATTGTAAGTGGGGGATAAGTGGTGTCGCAGACCTCCTCCTCTGTTGGAGATGGCCTCTTTTACTCCTCTTTCAAATCTTCCGTCCTCCCTATATGAAACATATTATCATTGAGGGAGTGTCCCTTATCCTTCAGGTGTAGGTAAACTGCTGAGCCTTGACCTGAGGACTTGGCCCTCTGGTGTTGAGACGTGTGTTTGTTTAGTGGTTGATTGGTGGACGCTGTTTTTAGTCTTAGTGTGTTGCTGCTTGTTGGTACATCTCTCTCTGCATATAAACCCTGTGTCAGTCCAGTTAAAGCCTTCTCACAGAGGTCTTCCTTCTGTCCCGAGAGACAAATCCTTTGCCTTGGGCAAGATGAAATCCACACGCTATACTGCTCTGCCGTGCTCTTATTTCTCACTGAAATATATTGTATGGTAAGTATGTGGAAAATTTGAATTTAAACACTGGTTTCACCCTTGGGCAACTGTTTTATCATTCTGAGCAGACAGTATACATCTGTGGCATGAAAATACCTTTTTAAAATACCATCTGCAGTTAGATAACAAGCACAAAATAACATTTACGGTTTGCAAAGGAACGTGACCAAGTGACGAAGTAACATATACCCTTTTTACACCATAAATAGCGGGTGTAAGTGGGTTTTTCCTTTTACACTGCCGGTGGAGTCTGTCGGAGAGGACACACAACTGCTAGTGTGCTGCTGCATCCCTGGGTTTGTGCTCCTGTCGGTGTCGGAGCGTCCGAGTGAGACTCTTCGATCGGCGATTGTGTGCTTTTAAAACTTATTTCGGGGCTGCACCTTCACTCTTTCCTCCCAGAGCACAGTCATTTGACCCGGGTGTGAATGTTAATTGTACCCTTTTCACTTGCAGACAAACACCCCCATGTTAATGGGTTTGTTTTGACCAGTGGAAAACAGGCTATACAGAGTGTGGAGATCACTTATGTGTAGCCTTACTCACCATAAATACTGGGAACATATATAGCTAGCATATACAGTAGCTTTATAAAGATTGAAACTAGGCAAGCATAGTTTTTCCAGAACACAAGTAGTCTGGCTGCTCTGCAGTGAAACGCCTGCTAATGTCCACCAAACAACGGCTATATTTGTTGCTAAACTCCATAGTCACTGTTTCAAGGTCGTTAAATCACTAACTCACAAAACATCAGATTTAAGCATTTTATCTTTTACACATACAGAATAAAATCCAGGAACAGAAAGTGAGACCTTGTGGTTTTTACGAACATTGGATGGAACATGCGTATAGCATTTTAAAATCCCAGCTGTGGTTTCAGGTTTGTTCACCCGTATGACTCCACTGTGCATCAAACCTGGTGACTCCCAGCTCGTAAATGAGACAGTTCTGGGGTCGTTTGAAGGGTAAGGCAGTTTCCCTTGGCTTCATTTGTTATGCTACAGTAAGCTAACAGGTCCTGGACCAGTGTCTGCACAGGCTGAAATTGATCATCATTGTTCCCACATGACACTGGGTTTTAACTAAGTGACAGAGTGTACCTTGAATGTTCAGATTTAAAGGGTAATCAACCGTGACGTGTTTCCAGTTCCTGGTTTTATTTTTTATTTTTTTTACAGTATTTTCATTTTACACCTCACAAAGTCTTAATGATTTTTGACTACGTGAACCCCACAGTGTGTTTATTGTCAATGTCTGCAGCATAGACTTTAAAAAGGTCATGAAATATATTTATATTTTTTACGCCCAAGGTCACAATTGATCCTGAGTGTGATTTAAAGATCACTGCCTCTTCAGCTTTTGTAAATCTTCAAAAAAATGTTCCGTACTGATGTGATGAAGTGCTGCATGTGGAATTAAAGAAGCAGCAGCCACAGATAAGAAAGTCATTTGAACCTGAGGCTTGATTAGCACACAGCGAGAGGATGCACGCCTCTGAACCGATGCCCAGCCCCCACTTCCTCCTGCTTATCACCACAATCAGGAGTGCTCTTGTTGTGGCTGCAGCTACAGGAAAGTAGACGAGCGTATGTTGGAGGCGGACTCGTGAGGACAGCCGGTCGAGGATGTTTAGCTTTCCCGGTTTCTCAGCTTACCATGGCCAGTTATAGTCCAGACAGATGCACAGTGTGACCCTCCGTGGAGACAAAGTGCTGCTGCTGCCGTGTCACACACAGTAACGGAGGAGATGCTGCAGCAGCGGCGGCTCTGTGTGCTCCATCCTGTGATAGAAACTGCTAAATGGACTGTGTATCTGCTGCTGTGGCCTGATTTGATATTAGTTATTCTGCTGACTGCTGCACCGACAGGATTGTTGATTCAGGAAAAGCACGTGAGCAAGGCAGTAAATCAAGTATTGATGATGACAGGGCTGCAGCCGATCAGCAATATCGTGGAATTTGAAAAGGTGATTAATACACATTTTTTAGATTGTAAAGAAAATTGCATAAATCATGAATGGGTCAATTTGTTTTCATGCATTTGATTCTTTAAATTTGATACATGAAAAAGAATAAATAAGTAAACAATTAAAAGAGCTATTTGTAAGTCTCGTTATTGCTACATAGCTAGCATTAGCATTAACAGCTGTTTACTTACCAGTCTAGAGGAAACATTGTGAATTCAGCATCAAACTTAATTCCTTTACTCGCCACAGTTTCTCTCCAGCGGTGGAGAGCAACCCTCTTGTTTTGCATCTATTCCCATCTCTTCTTTTCTTCTACTGATGTTAGCATGCTAACCAGTTAGCCACGGCCCGTCTCATCACTGTAGCATCCAGTCTGCCCTGAAGAGAAATTGTGAACCTGTCCTTTAAGGATGTGAATAACCAGCTGTCTGATGTAAAGTCTACTGTAAACGTCCCCAGAGAACGCTGAACTCGACGTGCACGTAGACGCAACTCGCCGTGTTTGTGTCGATGCTACGGCGGCCACTTGTTCAGTGCTTTGTGACTTTTTAAAGTTTAAAAGCATTAAACAACAAGTGCACACGGATGTTTTATAATTCATCAATGCAAGCGTGTCCCAGCCGGGTGCATCATTTTTTAGTGTCCCCTGGAAACACTTCCGTTGTGTTGTGAGTATTTGCAGCGAGTGTGATGAAGTCGTTTTCTGAAGCTGTTTGTGTTGTCAGTGTAATTGCACGTGTGAACTGCAGTAGATAATGTCTGGCTGAAAGACCTTTAAACTTCACACTGCTTTGCTTCAACATAACCGTCCGGCTAAAGAAGAACACATATGATACTGCATATGAAAGCAGTTTTGCATGTACAGCAGCTGTTACCAGCCGCAGCAGCGTGTGGGTGGTGTTTTGTTTTCACTTTTTGAGTCTGTGTGCGTCGCAGTGTGGTCCCAGAGACACCAACTGTAGCAGGAACTACCACAGAGGTGGTTTTGAGGCTGGTGGTGTTTGTCAGCTGTGCAAAGATGCATTCACAAATCTTCACAGGCGTGTAGTTAAAGATCTAAATAGTTGCTTATGTAATAATGTAGTAGTGAATACTGAGCGCTCGTGGGTCAGTCGCTCTAGTTCCACCTGAGACTTTACTGTTGTGATGTGTGATGTGTGAGGCCGTGTGGATTGTTTTCACATGTGCGACCACTAGATGTCACCCTACACAGAGGCAAACTGTTCATGAGAGCTGCTGAACAGCCTGTGTGAAAGACAGTGCAGTGACAGCTACATCCTCCCATGTCCCCTGAGATGCAGAGACACAGTTTCATCAAGCTGAGGAGGAAGATTACACCCAATGTAGTGGCACCTTTTCCCTCCTTCCACACATGATTTTAGTTGTTTCGTTCAAAGGCAGAGCAGGGATGGATGTCAGGGAGAGAAATGTAACTGCTGTGAGCTGATGGATATCATTCAGAATGAAAACAAACCTCATGATTGATGATTTCTCGCATCTGTTTTCAGCTAGGTAGGTACCCAGATGTCTGAGGAGGCTCTGAGGATGACATCTTGGCCTTGAACCCCACCAGTATGTCAGGTAAGACTCCCTCACAGTCTTATACACCCCTAAGGATTATTGCAAATATCATTCATAGAGTGAAACATGATGCACTCCATGTCCATGCCCCCCCCCTCCGTTATATAACTTGTCACATAATCAGCGGCAGAATGACATTTCTTCACCGTCTCGTTCTTTTCCCGCCAGACTCTACATCATACTGCTGCACTCATAGATTAAGTTATTTTCAACTTTGACCTTTGAACTCTGGACCTTAAGTCGAGAGTCTTGGTCACGAAAGAACTGTCAGTGAACGAGTCCATATTGACAACTGATCAAACTCTATCAGCTGATGATTAAAGTGTTAAAACTGGTGAAAACTATGAGGCATAAAAAATGACAGAAGTATGAATAAATAAATATAGAAATAAATAATTAAATACAAAAATAAATGCAAAAATAATTAAATTCTGGTAATGAAAAATGCAATTTTTGTATTTTTACATTTATTTATTTGTTTAATTATTTGTGCATTTTTAGATTTATTTATGTATTCATGTCTACATTTATTTATTTATGTGTCTGTATGTTAATTAATCAGGCTGTCCCACTTAATTGTGTTGTCGAGCCAAGCAAGTAGAGTAGAATCAAAGACTTGGTGATATTATTAAAGACAAAGTCGTGGTTAATGTCACAGTTATAATTAGTAATAATTGGCACTAATGGGAGACAAAGTGAACTTGGTCCACTTTGAATTAATTCATTTTAATTAAATGCTAAGCTAGCATAACTTAGAGTCTATAGTCACAGCATGGAGGTTAGCACAACAAACACACAATTCAACAAATATGAAGAATATAAAGAGAATAAAAGAAAATAAATGAATGAATTTGAATTGGATATTAGAAAATAAACCTGAACATAAAGTGTTATAATTTCTCTTAATGTCATATTTGTCTACTCTGCACCACTCGCTGTACGATGAGCCGATCATGTGGAAAACACCTTGTCAAACATTAGCATTACCACAGCAGCAGAGCACCATTAGTGTAGATGGTGATCTGTGTGCGCCAGCAGAGGGCGCCGCGCGGTGTCAGATGAGGTGAACACTGACGTCTGACAGCAGGAAAACAAACCTGCAACATTAAATGTGGTGAAAATTAATCTTCATTAATATTTTTCATCCAAAATTTGACAAAATAATAAATCCAGTCTCAGAGTTTTAGTCAAACACATTTTGTTACTGAACAGAAATGAAATGCTTTGATCCTTAGTTATTAAGTGGCTCTTCCAAGTTCAAAATAATGTTTACAACAGTTCGTCCAGAGCACACAGGGGAAGTTTTGTTCACGTATGTTGTTGAGAAGCAGTTTAAGGACGCGTCGACCGTCCTGGCTCATCGTATACGAGACGCCGCCACGTGTAGATTGAACCTCTGACCTCACTGACCCCCCCCTCTCCCCCACCCGTCCCCCCCCCCCCCCCCCCCCCCCCCCCCCCCCCCCTCCCCCCCCCCCCCCCCCCCCCCCCCCATCTCACCCACCCCCTCCCGACCTCACATACGTCGGCTTCGGATTATCTTATCTTTCAGAGGCACGCCTGCGGCAACCAAAGCCACCCAGCTGTGTGTACACGCGTTCACATGAGGAAATGACACCCCCAAATCCCCTCTACTAGACAACATTCGCATGACGCGAGATGACTCTCGGAAATTGAACCTGTACATATGTCGTGGGGTTAACGGGTAAAAGCTTAACACCAGCGATAGGGTGCCGGCGTCACTCCCACTTTGGCGTTCTCACGATCGGATCACTCTCCGATTCCCCTTTCACTCACTGTAACAACATGAGACCAACGACAACAACAACGACAACAACAACACACTGTTAGAAAGAAAGTGATGTTTCTGATGCTGTTGTTTGTAGGATTCACTCTGACCTGCTGTTTTCTTCCACCAGCTGTTGAATGTTTCTGAGAGGCGTCAGTCCGCCTCTGTCACCTGTTTCACTCAGCAAGTAGCTTTCCTTTTTTTCTTTAAAAAGTGCCTCTCCCATCTATTTTAGAGCCAGCAGAAAAATGCTCCCCCCGCTGGAAAGATGAGGCCATTCAAAATGGTAATATTTCCCCTCCCTCTCAGCACTGCTTTTCCTCCTCTCTGTCAGTCACGGTGAGCTCTCCTGATAAAATGTGGAGCTTTTTCTTCACTGAAAACTGAGCAGCTGCCTCAGACTTTAACCTCCTTCAGCTTCCTGCTTCACATCTTGTTAAAACTCCTTGAATGACTTTCCTTGTGGGTTTTTCTCTTTCCAACAGAAATCACTGTCTATCACTATTCACCTCCTGGGGGAATGTTTCTTATTTAAATGTCTTGTTCTTGTGCAGATATGTGGGAACAGTCTCTTTTATTTTCATTGTATTAATTTAACCTAAGGTCGTCAGAGCTCAGGGTAAGCTAAGATTTGCTTGTTCAGGTTGTGTGATAATATAATAACCCGCAACATAGCACTGTCTAACATACAGCTCAGTGAATGTTGTCTGCCTAAGCGATTAGACGTAGCAAGAGTCAACGACCATTAAAGTCCAAATGTTCGTCATGATTTCCTGGAAATTGAACCGTCTATAAAATAGAGACAAAGTGAACTTGGTCCACTCTGAATTCATTTTAATTAAATGCCAAGCTAGCATAACTTAAAGTCTACAGTCACAGCGCAGAAGGTTAGTCAACAAACACACAATTCAACATGTATGAAGAATAAAGTTTCACTAATAAATGAATGAAGAATAGAGATAATTTAGGCTTAAATGGATCATTCAGGTCTAGAAATCATTGAAATTCATTTTTAAACTCAACACAACTTATTGCTTATATATTAATTTCTAGTTCTTTCTTCTTTGCGTTCTTTCCAGAAAAATCTTGTGGATATAATTAGGAAAAAAAGGACCCATACATGAAGCGTGACTTGTGCACATGATAACAACGTCTCCTCTCTGCTTCAGTATCGAGGGACAAATTAGCTCAACAAAACACAGAGAAGTGAAAAGAAGAAAGAAAAGAAGTTTCTCATCATCTGTCTGAGAACAGAATCAGAGCGGCAGCAAACACTGAACCGAATATATATATATATATATATATATATATTATATATTATGACATATTATAAATGAATGTTTGTGTCGGAGTGAGAATCCCGATTTTAAAAATGTTCGTCACGTGCATTTTAATGAAGATCCTGTAAGGTGTCACCTGTGCTAAATGATTGCAGCCCGTCCCTGCCGGGTTGTAACAGGTTGTGAACATGTGATCGGGTTTAACGATGATGCATGGAGGAGACATGAATCTAAAAGTCAAAGGTCAAAGGTCAAAGCTGCTGCGTGGAGATGATAAGTTGATAAATCGATTAGTTGAGTGAAAGTTAAGAGTTGCGACACTTTTTCTCTCAGTTACTCAGAGTTTGTTCAAGACCAAAACCAAAGCTTTTATATGTTCCACTTACATCCGTCTGCTAATTATAATTGTATATATTATATTATAATTACCCATACCGTTTAAAGGTGATTACATACGACACATCAGTCACAATATTTATTTGAACTGACCCCTGTTGAACCACGAATCAGGGACGGTTGCAACATATTAATTATACATTAAATTTCACTAATTAACTTTAGATTTTTGTCTCAACGAGCTCAACATTGTTTTACAGTAAGATGATAGTGTTATTTATTGGAACACAGGGTTACCATGAGTCAAAATGGGCACAATTCATTTATTTTGTTGCTTATGATGAACAGAGCAGGCAGATATATTACAAGACTGTGAGAGACCATAACAAAATAATTCACAACATAACTTGTTTATATTCTGTTATGCGTTAAAAAATAGTAATAATTATTGTTGCGATTGGAAAACTAAATGCATATATTGGCTATTTGAACTGTAAATGAAAATACTGCGGTGTGGTCGTAGTTATTTTATAAATGTGGGAATTCACAGCTTCTCTTCGTCTGACGTGACAGTTGATGATGAGTATTTTGGGGGTTTGGACTGTTGGAAGTCTCCAGGATATATTTTAAGTGATTAAGCAAATAAATAAATAAATAAATTGGCAAATGAATCAATAATGAAAATAATCTTTAGCTGCAGCTCTGGTCCTGGACTAAATGATTAAAGCTTCTGGCCTGAAGTCGACTAATGAACTCATTTGCCTTGCCACATGTTTGACTCCTCAGTTAATCAACTAACAAGTAATTACTGACGGGTGTGTGAAAGCGTGCGGCGGATACTGTGTCTCTGTCAGCAGCAGAGCTTTTCATACGAGCGAAGGAGAGAGAGAGAGAGAGAGAGAGAGAGAGCGGCCTGCTAACAGACACATTTTTAAATGAAAGCAACACGCAGAGTCTTTCACTGACTGAAGTTTCCGTGACGCCCGGCAGCTGTTTTATACTCTCTCCACCGATCGCTGGTGCGTTCGAGGACACTTTCGTCGGTGCCGTTACAGCTTCGAATGACCTTTTCACAGAGAGGCCCCCCAAGCTGCTGGGGAGGGGCCAGACTAATTTCTGGTCCTTGCCTGATGACTGTCGACACAAAAGGATGACTTTTTAAAGTGTTTAAAGGGAGTTTGAGGGAAGTGTCTTGATTTAGATTTAGGTTTGACTGACTTCAGTGTGTCTTTGATTGACACCGCACGTTTCTCCAGTGACCGCGGCGTCGCTGATCGATGGCGTCAGTGTTTCTCTACGTTTACCTCCCTGTGTTTTCTGTTCATGACCTGGAGGTGTCGTCCTTCATCTTTTTGTCTCTTCAGCCCAAATTGTTTATCTCCGCTCCTGCTCTTTATCTTAACGCTGACTCAGCAACACAGCGAGCGTCATTCGCATTCTCAGAAACCCTGGAGCCTGAAACATCAACAGGCCGAGCTTCATCAGGACTAATGGGTTCACAGCGAAGCCATTATACAGAAGACGGTCCGTTGTCACACTCCACTGCTGCAGAAGTAAAGGGTGTTGAAGCCCGCTGTATCGTCATGGGAACGGTCTGTTCTGTGTAAATCCAGTCTTCTTGCCTCTCTCCACTGTCCGGGGAGCAGCTGGCATTTGTCCCCGTGTGACATCATCATCACCGCCTGTGTTTCAGCCGCTCAGCCGAACCAGACACGTGTTCACATTCACACTGAGCTGCATAATGTTTGTCATTTTATTTTGTTTCCTCCTTCTCTCTCTCTCTCTCTCTCTCTGTGCTAAATGTAACGTTTCCTCAGTTTTCTCCTGTGTCTGGTGACGTCGGTCCGGGTTGTTGTGGCGTGTAGGTTTAATTGAGGTTGAGTCGTGTGCGTCTCCGGTGAGATCTCGCTGCGGTGATGTTTGGTCTCTGGAGATCGCCGCGTGATGATGATTCGCTCCTGATATCTCGATCTCTGCAGTAGCTCATTCCCACACGCCTTAATGAGGTCAGTGAAGGGAGCAGCAGCAGCTCTGATCAATTGTTCACGACAGTGACGATGGCCAGAGTCTATAGCTATAAAAAAAAAACTTTTAATGCGTGAGCTGAGCAAGAATCAGAGCACATTTGTTACATATATTTTTTCACTCAAACTCAATATCTCATGGGGAAGAGCAGAACTCCCAGGACCAACGTCAAAACATATTATTATATATGTATTAGGCCTATATTAGATTTTAATTTGATCATTTTCTGCAAGATATTAGTTTCACATATGAATTTAGCTTGTTTGTCAATTTGAAGAACAGATCACAGTATATATATATATATATATATATATATGATATCTTAGATATACTGTATATGTCAGGATCTCTGAGGCCGCAGCAGAGTTTCATTCTATATACTACATGCTATAAACTGACTCCGTTTTAAAGCCCAGTTGTAAGGATTTAATGACATTTTTTTAATGTGATCACATGATGTCAGTGACACAGAGGGGAGGGGCTTTCAGCCTTTGAGCTGCACTCGAACCTTGAGCGGCTGCGTCGCCCCCTGGTGGATCCGGGCAGGTTTTAAAAGTGCTTGTGAACGCTCTGCGACCTCACTCATACTTTCACATTACTGAGCAGAAATCTACTGCACTTGTCCAGTAAATACAAGGATTTCTCACCATGAGGGAGATAGGTTTTTGTTTTCCTTTCAGTGACTGTGTTGCAGCTCTAACAAAACGAAGGGGAAGCCATCCTTCTTTCGCTCTGTAGGAGAAGCTCTGACTATTTAAAATGAATGACTTGGAAAAAAAGAAAAAAGAACAGTATCTAAAATAGATAGCTTCATTCTGAAGTGCAGGATAATCCTCTCAAACTTTAACCTTTACCAATGGGAGCCTTCTGCTGTTCCCCAGAGCTTAACCTGAACTTTAAGGGGAAAGGTTCACCCACTAATGTGCCCTGCTTCAGGTAACGCAGAGTATCCGGGGACATCTGGCTCAGGGCGTCACGTCAATTGATGGCCCGGGGTAAAAGAGATTCCCCACATCCAAAAATTGTTCTTGACCGGCCATGAACCCCCAAGGCCTAAATTAATCAATCAGGGAGGGAATATATCTGTGCATAAGCCTGCTGCAGGGCCACTGTGCTGACCTGCCATCCTGTTCCTGTCGGTGGGAGCGGATTGTTGTGAAGTATTCGTAGTTATTTAAGATAGAAAAAGGCCTCGGCCGTTTGTCAGGACGCAGCTGCTGGAGCGTGTTGACACAGATATTTACTCAGCGTTATTTCACACAGGGAAATATTCTTCTGGACTGATCATTCCAACATGTTTTCATTAGAGAAAGGTTAACAGAAAAGATTTAAAAAAGAGAGTCGGGGTAAGTAGAGAAATGTTTAAATATAGTGTTAAAATTGTTTTAGATTATGCTGTTTCGAAACAAACGAAATGTTTTTATGTAAATGTGATTTAAAGGATTTAAAGGTGCCTCTGAAAGAGTTTTTGTATAAACTTTTATATTAAAGTAAATACAAAGTACTTGCTTTATTTAACTAGCTTTTGTCGAGAGCTTTTAATCGTATTATGTAATTTAAAACATTTTGATTTGTGCTTCATGAATATCTGAATAAATTAAAATGTTAAAAAAAATGTAATAAAAAACAATTAAATTACAATATT